ATTATTTAGATTGATTTAACTGAATAATAAATAAAAATAAATAAATAATTATTTGCATTTTAATGTTTTTGTTTATCCGACTTTAAACAAAAAAAGTTGATGAAACAAATGTACGTAAATGTAGTACAAAATAGAGTAAATTAAATGACATTTTAGACTAAATAGAAGTAATTGATTGAAATGAAAGAATGGATTATTCATTTGACAGAATTATGCATTCAATCGATATTTACATTACTTATACTTCCGTAAAAACACTTAAATCTGATTGATTTTCATTTACCTCCCTGTCCTTTACTCTCCCTATCCCTCTGGTCTCAATGTCTCGGCAGATATGTGCTGTCATTAAGCAAATAATAAGTTGAATCCATTTCATCTCCACCTCTCTCTCTCTCTCTATATATATATATATATATATATATATATATATATATATATCTTGTATGTGAATATCTAAGAGTAAGTGATGCATAAATTGGTAAATCATTTAAGCGATGTTTTTAAGAGTTCTTTGAAGTAAAGTTTGGGAACAAAAGGTTTTAGACATACATTTTATATTATATTTGTGTTTTTATAAACCACTAACTTTTATATCTATTTTACTGACAATGCATTTGATGGCTTGTTATTATGTTTTTTTAACACACATTACATTTTCTAATATGTAATATACTGTATTTGATGTAAGTGTCAGTGAAATGCAGAAAATCATAATCATTACAATTGATTTAATGTTATTTTGACTTATAATTAGCATAATCTGAGATAGTATAGTATTATAACCTTACCGTAAGTTAAAAATTATTTACATTGAATTTAATATTGAATATCATATTAATGACATGAATTAATAAATTTAATAATCCTTATTTTATTTATAATAAAATAAAATCAGACTTTATTGGCATCTCATCCAGCATTTGTTGGTATATATCGAAAGCCATTATCATTAATTACATAATTATCTAAAATATATTGATATATTTTTAGTAAACTAATAAACTTAGAGTAATATAACAAAAAATGATTTTAAAAATAATTTTTATTATATTTTATTAACTTAAGTAATGTACAAATTTACTGTTTATTTAATTATTATTATACAATTAAGTATAATATAAAATAAATTGTATATATTATTTTATTTAAAAATAATTATTATATTGTAAACCATAATATATCTCTTTATTATAAAGCATTTATAAGCTCTGAACTAAATACATCTCAAGAGATGATGACTTGAATGAAAGTAAAAAAGACATCAAATTTTGTTTTGACTCAAAACATGTATATAAAAAACTGCAGTAAATATCATTTATTGGGCAAAAAATAAGATATAAAACTAAATTGGGTCACAGATAGATTGAAATGTTATTAAAATACATAAATATAATACAATAACACAAAAGAAAGACAATAACACTTCCGGATTTGATTTTTGTATTTCATTTTGAAAATGTCTTTTTTCTGATCAATTTGTGGACACACTTCTCAGTAGTTGTTGTTGTGTTGTCTCTCACTCATGGGTTTTGGATAAACAATTGTTTCAAAAGAAAAACTGCTTTTTATAGCAAACATTCAAAAGACTCAACAAATAACACATTATATACAGTATTATATAAATATACCGCTAAGTTATGTATTTCCCAATATTTTAAATTGAATTTTTCCATTTAATCCGCAAGTAATGAATGTTTGACTTTTTACATACACTCAGCAAAATATATTTGTCTGTTTATATTTTAGTCTACGACTAACTTTCAAATAAAATTAAAATGTATTTTAGCAGTTCATATTTTATTATTAAATCACAAATATACCATAAATTTTAAAGTTTTTCACTACTAAATATATTTTATATGTAATTTAATATATTATATGAAAATGTTTGTGTGAATGAATGACGGAATACATAAAAAATACATATTAAATAGTTTATAATATTTAGAAATTACTTATTTAATTCACATTCAAACCATATAATCAAAATATAAATATAATTTGTTCACTATATCCAAGCATTAAAATCTTAACTTATTTTTTTATTGTATTTATTGGACAATTATTGTACAATAGACTTTTTAGATAAATGTAAAATTTTAATATAAATTAATATAAATTTATTTATCATTATTGTAAAACTCATTAATGATAAACTACTATTATATGTGTTGCATGCATTATAATAATCTAGCCTGGTCATATCAGACAAACTATTTTGCAGTTTGTTTTGTATCGTTTATCAAACAGTATGTTCACTCCATTATTGCAAAACCATAACATATCCTAAAACATGGTTATAAACGACCAAAAAAATGCTGGTCTCATACAGTATATAATATATACAAACATATAGATACATATAAACTGACGTCAATTGATAGCAAATGAGAATATATTTAAAAGAATATATTCTTTGCTATTCACATAACACAACAGTAAACAGATATTCTGATTAGACTTAAGTCTATTACAAAAATGTAAAAATATTGAATAATATTTCTCTTATTTTCTAATGTTGTTTAACAGACAAAAAAGCATTGAATATATATAAAAGCATATAAAAAGATTGAAATATGGATTTTTCATACATTATATAATCCATAAAATAAGAGCTCAAATATTTGCACATTAAATGTACACCAAAACAAATATTGATCTCTAAATATAATTTATACATATATTTAAGTGTTAACTATTCTTTTATATTATTTACAAATATTAGACAAAATTATTAATTCCATAACATTATCAAATATTACTCTATTAATACTATAATTGATAGTTTATTTTAGACAATAATTTTATTTATTTGTTTTACTCATTTATGGTATGCATCACTATTTATTGTTGTAAATGTTGAAATGTTTAATTACATTGAAAAATAAAAATAAAGTTTATTTAAAAATTTTAATACTTTGCAATTACAACAACAACAACTAAAACAAAAAATATTAATTAATTTGTTTATTTATTTATGTCTAAATTATGATATTTATATTAAAATAAGTATCATAGAAATATGTTACTGATATGAATTTAAAAATTAAATAGCCATAAAATATAACATCAAATTGACTTATATAAATAATATAATGCAATTGTTACGCTTGAATATTAACCCCGGGCTATGAATTTTTTGGCAATGCTTTAAAAACACTTTCCCATATATTATATAATGTTATTGACAGTCAAAGAGGCAAATGTTTGTATTGTATATATATTCATACATATTGCGAGATATAAATGTGATATTTATCATAAAGTCATAACCCATTTTGTAAAATAAGAATATTCTGTCAAAACTATTATTCAAACATAAAATAAATAGCTTTTTGTTAGTTTACAGTCTATAATAAGTATATGTTTTTCAAAATCATTTGACTCTATCTATCACAACATACTATCATCAATGCACCGCTCATATCAAACCATTTCTCTCTCTCTCTCTCTCTCTCTCTCTCTCTCTCTCTCTCTCTCTGTGTGTGTGTGTGTGTCTAGGATTTGTATCCATCGCTTTCAGAAAGATTGTATTCACGGTGTTTTGAGAACCCTGACTATGTTTTTCTCTATGATTATTGGTTTTACTGTGTATAGCATTCATAACCGTCAAAAGTGCAACGGATTGGAGGAGTATCTAATAATGATAGGATAGCACTATATATGTGGACAGTTCAGAGTATAAATATTATCTGTTTTCTGACACTAAAATTACAAATATGCTTAAATAGTCCGTCCGGGTATCGAATCCGGGTTATCGGACCCGAAAGCCGATAACTTAGCCTTTCGGCCACCGAGGCCCATTTTGTGTGTATGTGTCGTTTGCACCTAACTATGCTGTAAAAAGCCATCACTATTACAAAGACAGAGATTTACTACAAAACTAAAAAATAAAATGTAAAAAGACATCTCGTTTTTTTGAAAAATTTAATCAAAAAATAAAATAACTGGAAATAAGATATGAATCTATAAAAATGGAATATAAGTCCATGAGAGCGGAAAATATAATTTTTAGCATATATTACATGAATTATTTTTAAATGATATATAGTATAGCATATAATATTGGATATATGAAAATATTGCAATATATGTTATTGCTTTTTAAATTTTTTTTTTATAAAAAACTACAAAAATTTTAATGTTCTAATAAATATGCATCAAATATAATATAAGTTATGTACTTAACATTTGCCTATTTAATAATATGCTAGACTTTTTATATTAAAATTAAATTAAATTTTAAAAAATAAAATAATTAATTTCCTTTTAAACATTACTAAGCAATAGTAACAATTTAAAATATTCTTTAATAATTTAATTGTTTTAAATCAATATAACATTATTGGTAGTTAGTATAAAATTAATTGCAGCTATCGATTGATGACTAACGATGGTTCAGCAGATAAGTCAGTTTGATTTAGCACTGAATCTATATATCTATCTAATGGTTAGCACACGTCAGTTATCATCAACTCTTTTGTGATGCTTTTTGAAAGAAATAATGTCATCACTTAAATATGGAGAGAGAGAGAGAGAGAGAGAGAATTGGATGCAAACAACTATTAGTAACATATGTTAGCAAATATGCCGACGAATAGCATTATAGGGATGGCTTTGTGTGAGTCTTAAACACATATCCGACACAATCGTTGATTCAAAAATAAATCCTTACATAACATTAAACATATGTTCACATCGTGTGATTGCTTTTGTGTGCTTTACTATTGCCACAAATATAATTATTTTCTAAATTAATGTTTACTAAGAAATTTTTTTGTTATTTTCTTAATTTTTTAATAGTCTACATACAAATTATTAATTATAAAACTAACAGTCTATTTATCAAAGTTTTTATTTATTATTAGTCAAAGAAATGTTGTATTTATAAATAAAATCAGTATATATATTATATTTAGGGTCTTATACTGTATATGTATATGCAATGAGTTCTCAATACTTTATATATATTTAAGTTGTAGACTAACATCATGTAACAGACGTGTATTGAATTAAAATGCAATTCACTGCTAAAAGAAACACAAATAGTGGCCAAAAATGCTGAATACGAGAGCAGTGATGGCAAACAAAGCCATGAGATATATAGACCACAAACATAGCTTACATTGAATCTCATCTCAAAGTTTTTGTTCACAAAAAAATTCAGCACTGATTGAAAATCTGGTTTAAGCCAATCATCATAACAATCGACAATAAACTTATACAACAATTTGCTTTATATATATACACTATATTTGTGTATCTATTTGTTCACTGTAACTAACATTTCAAGTATAGTACAGTATATTATACCATATATATGATACGGTATGTGTGATTGCAAGTTATATAATGAATGTATTGCTTACCAATAATATAGTGGACACAAAATTAACAGAAATGTTTTGGCATTTCAGTTAAAATAGTTAAATAAACTAAAACAGTAACGAATATATGAGTTCATTATTTGCAATCAAAGCTATTATTGTCAATCTTTAGTTATCTTTCATATATTGTTGTCAACAAATAAAAGTCAACAAATAAGAAGAAGACGTGTGCTTTTCAGTCGCTTTTTTCAATCAAAAATACAACAAAAATGCCTTCAAATTTGTTAGCATTTTCAGCCAATAATTTTCTCAAACTCTCTCTCTCTCTCTCAACACAATTGATGTGTTTATACGCTTTGATTCTTAACTATCATTAAATTGCATTTCACAGCACTTATTATAACTGCCTTTTGTATATAACTATCATATAATATAAGTAATAGAGTATAGGGTATACTGATATGGTATCAACGATTACTTAGCAATGCCTTATCTAACTGTCTCTTAGCCCTATTGTATGACAATCTCAACTAACCATTGCCTTCCCTTTCCTTTTGATATATCATTGAATTGTTAGTTAATGTTCAGCAAATGTATCGTTAAGTTATCCCAACAATATATGCTTAACTCATTGTTATCATTTGAATCATATCATTTTAATTAGCATTGATTTCTAATACTGTATCTAAAAAAATCACAATTATATCATGTATGTGTATGTGTATGTGTATGTGTATGTGTATGTGTATGTGTATGTGTATGTGTATGTGTATGTGTATGTGTATGTGTATGTGTATGTGTATGTGTATGTGTATGTGTATGTGTATGTGTATGTGTATGTGTATGTGTATGTGTATGTGTATGTGTATGTGTGTATGTGTATGTGTATGTGTATGTGTATGTGTATGTGTATGTGTATGTGTATGTGTATGTGTATGTGTATGTGTATGTGTATGTGTATGTGTAAAATGTGTATGTGTATGTGTATGTGTATGTGTTATAAATGTAACATGTGTATGTGTAATGTGTATGTGTATTATAAAATCATTTAAAACAATAAAAATCTTTTTTTATAAATAATATTAATTGTCACCAATAAGTTAGACAACTTTGACATTTAGCAAACATTTTCAAACAATTTTACTTTTATATACTTTACTATTTCTAATCATTGTATATATTATACAAACTTATATTTCAAATATCGTAAACTCATTTCTATAAATCCAATATTTTCATTAAATTTAATAAAAATTTTATGTTTGAAGACTTACTCTTTCAATAAAAAGGTCAATATTTAACTATATATTTCAATAACACTTTTAATAATAAATTATAGAATAAGTTTTATTTTTAATACTCTATATTAACCAGTTGAGAATGCTAGATAGCATTACCAAAACAAACAAATAATGGCATCAATTATTCCAATTAATAATAAAATACCATACATTCATTGCTAATATTGTATAGAGCAGGCGTTATCACGATAGTGATTTTTGATTACTTTTGATTAAAATGCACTTCGACATTTTATTATAATATATTTTAAACAAATTTTACATATTTATTTTAATTAAGTAGTATATTTAATTTAATATATAAAAAATGGTATTTATATTATTATAAACTCTATCAGTTATCAGAATAGTGATTTTTGATTGTTTTATTAAAATATATTTAATCTATAAATACACTGTTACATATTTTTAATTAAATTTAATTTGAAAAATTTTTGTAATTTAATAGTATATAAAATTAGTTATTAAATTTGTGTATTATATTTTTTTTGTTTTTTATAACTATATATTTCAAAATAACACTTTTAATAATAAATTATAGAGTATTTAATGTTAATTTTTATACATTACTTTTTATTAACCAGTTGAGAATGCTAAAATAAATGAACACACAGACACACAACACACAGACAAGACACACAGACACACAGACACACAGACACACAGACACACAGTTTATAAACAAAAAATAAAATATTAATTAAAGTATATTGATATTCAATAATAAAAATTTGTATAATTCATATTTAAATTTTTACATTTTAAACATCACTATATTATTTTTCAACTTTTGACTTACAATAACAAAAATTATGCAAAATATTGTAATTAACAGTTTTTATTATAAATACATTATTTTTTAAAAACAAATGTTAAAAAATTAATTTGATTAATGACATCAAAATATCGTCATAATTATTATAAAACTTAGATTTTATTTGAATTGGTATATAAAGTGATAACGAAATTAATGAAAACACAATTAACAGCTTAGATATGATTATTATTAATAAAACCATTTCTTCAATTGTATGCATAGATGTCTATAACAGGTAAGTCCAGTACAACAATGGGGTAAATCAAAGTGAGAACAGGACTCACCTCCAGAGTGACAATAGGGTCTCTTTACTACTGATCAACAAATTTATAATAATTATATTAAATCTAATATTTAATAGTTTTTACATTTATTACCAAATTTTGGTGGCAAAGCATAAGTCAAGTTATACATATAAATCATAAATATTATTAAATAGATTATCATTTGTAACCTCATTGTAAAATATAACAATTATTTACACAAAAAACAATTGTTTGATTTCTAAACAAGTGAATCAATTAAAATTATTTTAAATTATCGCTAAAAATGTGTTACTAATAATTTAAACAGTTTTTACATAAAATATTATTCTATTTATTCATATTTTCAATGTTAACAGCTTTTAAATAAACAAATGTTTTATTGAAACATTTATTTTATAATACTATATAACCACAACTATATTTATATATAGAAAATATTAAAAACAAATAATTTATAAAAGTAAACAAGACATTAGTCAAAAAAAATATTTAAGCTGTATTTATATTATTTTTGTAATTTGGTAAATACAAGTATATACTGTAAATAACTTTATATAAAGTTAGTTACCAGAGTAATCAAATGGATTCATATATTTATTTTGAAAAAGAAATTTTTAAATTATATTAAACACATTAGACAGTACTATAAATATAAAAAGTAATTTTGCATTAATATGCAAATAAACGTAATCTGCGGCTCATAAAAGGCAAACACACAAAAAGGCATCAAATATTGTGAACATATCTCTTTCGCTATGATTTTCATGGCAACAAATAATGACTGTTAGAGAGAGAGAGAGAGAGAGAGAGAGAGAGAGAGAGAGAGAGAGAGAGAGAGAGAGAGAGAGAGAGAGAGAGAGAGAGAGATCTTTTGCAACATAAAATTGTTTTAATGATTATGTAGTTTTGGGTCTATTTCTCATTTATTTAAATTCCTTCATTAAACTCATTTTTTTGCGGCTAAATATAGATCTGTTGTAATATAATATTGATATTATAGTCGTAATATTATAAATATATAGTATATATTGCTCACATTTTTAGGGMAAAAATTTGTAATAATAATAATTATTATATATAAATACTATTTTGTATTTCCTTTAATAAATGTATTTTTTTCTTTCATTTATCATTTTTCTTAATATGTATTAACTTAGTAAAGACAGTTGTATCTGATAACCAAATGAATAATAGTTATAACGCTACAGAAAATTATTTTATTTATTATATTATATAAAACTGTAATAATACTGTAAAAAAATATATGTGCGTTATATAATATAAATTATGGTTTATTACTTTAAAAATTTGACATTAGTTTTTTGTTTTGCCTAACTATATGCAATTTTATGATAAAATATGTCGAAAAAACGTAATTAGTTATTATATAGAATATGATACATAAATTAAAAATATTAATTTAGTTTTAGATAAGTTAATCAGTTTTATAAAAAATTAAAATAAATTAGTATTTTCAAAAATGCATTATTAAATTTCTTTTAGTTGTAAATTTTTATTTACAATGTGTTTTAATTTTAATATATTATTTTTTTATTGTTGATAATAGACTTTTTATTAAAAATCTTTAAACTAAATGAAGACATTAATTATTGTAATTGTATTTAATGGTATAGTTTTTTAAATATTAAAAAGATATTTAATTTTATTTGTAATCATAATTTTTGTTTGTAAAATTAAATGTTTTATTAAGCATTTTATTCGAAATTTGATAATAATTGATATAGTTGTTTTATTTATAATTTAAATATAATTTAATTATATAATTTATAAATATGATTATAATATTAATATATAAATAACAACTTATTTATTTAGTAGTATAATAATTAAAAACAAATTTTGAAAAAAACAAATTAGTGTTAATATAAAATTTAAATATAATATTAATATTATTATTCATGCGTGCAATGTATTGACAAATGCAAAGTCAATACCGATTGTCCCGATGGACTCAGTTATGTCTTTGATATACATATTATGAGAAATATTATGAGAAAAAGTGTGTTAAACAGTACTCAGTTGGGAATTCATGTGAATCGTGTCCTCAATATTTAAAAATTTTTCATTTAATTCAACCAAATATTTCAAATCAATAAAATAAAAATTATATATTTTATTTTTGGGGGAATTAAATGATAATTATTACTAAACTGTATATATTATATCAAGCGTTTTTAAAAATACAAAGTAATACATTTTATTAAATATTTAAAATAATAATTTAAAAAAATAAATTTTATTGACAACTTTATTATATTTTTTAATGTTGTTAAAATAATATACTCTATACGGTTATGTTATAAGTATAAATAATTAATAGTAATAACCATTTATTATAATTTTTATTTATAAATATTTAATATATTAATTTTCTATTTAAACAACAAA